GCTGGAACTTAGAGGAAGTACAGATGCTGAGATTTTGGTCTGGGAAGGTGGGTTTTCACATTCTTACTCCAACATGCATCTAGGTCTCTGAAATTGTTTAGCCTGAGGCGTTGACCAGCCCCGCTTCTCTTTGTAGACTTCCCCAGACTCTTTCTGCCTTACAGAAAATCACATGAGGCCATTGAGCCTGGGCACGTGAATCACTTCATGTTTAGATTCAGGCTGGGCCCCAAGGAAGGGAGCAAAACAGCTTCTCACAACTGTGGTGTGTTACTGACATGTTGGCCCTTAGAACCCAGGTCCTTGTATGTAAACGGCTTGGAGACAACCCAGTTTCTGGCTATCATCTCATCTGGGTGATGAGATGGACATAAAGGCACTCTGAAAATGGTTGAGTTACACAGAAGGGTCCAGTGTTCCTTACTGTACCAAGGGATGGATTACCCCAAGGCTTGTATCATTTCAAAGATTCACTTACTGCAGGCTAAACGGGGACCAGATGCACTGTGAAGTGTCTCGTGATTCACAGAACATCTGTCATAATAGTCCTGTTGATGGTTGCTCCTCTCTGTCAACTTGGCTGGGTTTAAAATCACCTAAGAAATGCACTTGAGGGTGTGTCTATGGGACATTTCTAGAGAGGTTTAGCTGAGGAGGGAAGCCTTATCCTGGATGTGGGTGCCACCATCACATAGTCCGAATAAAGAAGAGGGGGGGAAAGTGGACTGAGCACCACATCGTCCCTCTGTTTTCCTGACTGTGAACAGACAGCGTGTGACCAGCCACCTACAATCCTTTCACCATGCCTCCTCCACGATACCTGTGTCCCCTAAAACTATGAGCCAAAATAAACCCTTCTTGAAGTCGCCTTTGCCAGAAATGTTGTTGCCATAGCAACAAGAAAAGTAGCTAATGCACCATGAAAGGTAAATGCTGCCGGAAGCCCAGCTCTGAAGATGTGCAAACTGGCACAGAGCGGGTGAAGAACTTGCCCAAGGGCATCCGAACGTAAGGGAGAGAGCCAGGACTCAAACACAGTCTCTGCAGTATGCATGTCCTCCCCGCCCCCACCCTCTTAATCATTGCCATCCCTTGGCACTGGCTGCCACTGCTCAGTTGTTCATTTGTTTACCATACTTACTTGGTAGTGGCTCTGACTTGGGCCCCTAGCACAGAAGATTCATGGCAAACGTCCCTTGCTTTAGGCCTTAGTTGGGCCACCCAGGCTTAGCCTTGTTTTAGCTATTGGCTAACCCTGATGTTCCCTCACAGTGACTTGGGTTACTGCTGTGTTTTGGTTTGGTTTGGTTTGACACATTAGGTGTTGAATCCAGGGCCTTATACACACTAGGTAAGCACTCTGCCATTGAGATACATCCGCAGCACTCTCTACTTTTTATTTTGAGGTAAGGTCTCGATAAGTGTACACAGTACACAGTCCGGCCTTGAACTGACTTGTAACCCAGGCAGGCTTTGATCTTGTAATCCTCCTGCCTCAGCCTTCCAAATAATTGGAATTACAGGTCTGTGCCATTTGGTCCAGCCTCGAGCCTCAATTTATTTCTCTCCTGGTCTCAGAGGGCTCCTATGCTAGCGACCCGGCTGTACTTGTTGGGTTTATCTCTCTGGAGGCTCTCTTCCTGTCTGCTCTGTAATGAACTGATAACTTAATGGCACAGTAGCGGCTATCATCATTTGGCACTGGGCACAGTTAGCCTTAGACTGCTGCTCTCAAAAGGGGTTCACTCCCTTGGGAGTCAGACAGCCCTGACTTTTTTCCCCTTCTGAGATAAGGGTCTCACTGTGTGGAGGATCTCACCATGTAGTCCTGGTGGCCTGGAACTAACTTCATAGTTTGACTCTGCTTCCAAAGTACTGGATGAAAAGTGGGTGCTGCCACACCCACCTACCCTGTCTTTAATCCAAGCCTTGACCTTTACTCACCGAATATCCTTGAGCTAATGGGGCTCCAAGCCTCATTATCTGTAATGTTTGCCTTAGTGATAGCAGCTGTTGTAAAGACTGAATAGGGTAACAGGTAATGGAGTTCCATATACCTGGCTGACAAGGGACAACTATAAATAGGTAACCATTAACATTGCTGATACCCTTCTAATTCTGACCTGTGGATTTGCATATTCTTCCTGTATCTCCTAGAAAACAAGCCCTTTAAGGACAAAACCTCCTTCCATCTTCTGCTCTGGGCCAGTGCTGTGCTAGGGTTCTTGAAGGTCCAGGTGAAGAGGGTACCAGTCTACCCTTCCATCCAAAGGTCCCACCATGGGCTCGAGAGTCCGGGTCCATGCCTTCCTCCTGGACAAGAGACTGGGCTCGGGGACCCTACAGTAATGAAGTGGGAAGGGAGCCAAGGAGGCTGGGGTAAGGGTAAGTTATATGCTTCCTCAGCTGGGTCAGGAAAATGTCTACTCAGGTCCTGTCTAGGCTGGGTTCTGTTCCTGTCTGGGGCTGCAGAGTCTGCACTTTGGGTTGGTAATTCAGATTGATGTGTCCATGGCTGAGGAAGGTGGGGAAGGACAACTAAATACCTCTGATGGGAAACAGTCTCTACTGCTGACTGAGGTAGAAGTCTGGATGTAGTGGTATTTGCTCCACCCATGACCTTGGGCCTGGACTAATGTGTCATCTTGGCTAGGGCCCTGCAGTTCTTCTGTGGAGTTAATGCACTCACCACAACCAAGATTTAAAGATGGAATTTGTGACCCTCCTACCTTCGTTTCTTTGGATAGCCTCCTGGTGTGCATCGCCACAACTGGCATAAGCTTGAATCTGTGCTTGGCTCTCAGTGGGACCTAGGAGAGCCTCAGCAAAGACGGTACAAGAACTCTCTTGAAGCTGGGATTCCAGGTAGAACCACTTCCTTTTCCCCACCCAGGAGTGAGCAGAAACCCAGCCTGACCTTGGTAAACCGTAGACTCTAGCTGGGAGTCTCGGATCACCTCTAGAGTGAGCTTGGAGGCAGAGTATCTGGAGGCCTGGGGGCTGTGTCTTAAAGGCATGGAGGAGGAGGGGTGTATGGCTAATGGGAAGCAGGTGAGGGGCTGTCTGTGCCCCAGCCAGGGGACAGGCTGGCTGGGATGACCCAGTCAGTGGGAGGACCTGTCAGCTCACAGATAATCCCATGAGACAGGCTCCGGGGTGCCCATTCGTATTCATTATGTGTGAAGTGGGCGGTTGTAAAGTTAGCTTTCTCTTCATTTAGTTGTCACTGGACAGAAAAATATGAGCTGTGGGCAGATGCACCTGGATGGGAGCCAGTAGCCAGCATCCGGCCTCCCTGTGCCCTCCCCACAGTCCCTCCAAGTATTGCCCGTGGCCCCTAGAGTCTACCACTCTTGCTGACTTGAAATGTTATTTTCTTCTGTCTGGTCCCGTAGTCCGTATTTCAGCTTCCTTTGCTTGAGCTTCAGAGAGTCTACTTCTCTCCTTCCATCTTTCTTTCTAAACTTTCTAAACGAGGAGAAAAGAAGTGTGTGTTTCTTGACCATGTGCTGTCTCTGGCACAGCACAGTGCCCAGCATGGGGTAGGACTTCAACATCTTTCTGCATCTCTGGTCAGTACCATCCCACAGGCTGTGGTCCCAGACTGCAATAAGGAAAGCGAGCTGAGCAGCAGCACCCCTCTGTGCTTCCTGACTGTGAACACACACTCCCACTGCCATGCTTCCTCCCAGCAGAGTGTGAACTGTGCCATAGCCGGGTGGTGGTGGTACACACGTTTAATTCCAGCAGAGGCAGGCAGATCTCTGGGTTTGAGGCCAGACTGGTCTACAGAGCGAGTTCTGAGACAGCCAAGGCTACACAGAGAGACCTGTCTCTGAAACAAAACAACAAACCTGTGCCGTGAGCCAGAATAAGTCCTTCCTTCCTTAACTTGCTTTGGGATTTTTGTCTCAGCAAGAGAACTAGCTAACATAACAAAAACAGCTCTCTGGTTTTTGTAGGGCCTAAGGGCCAAAATGTCACTGACCATCCCTGACATTTCTAGTGAAGTGGTATGTACCCTGGAATCAGAAATGGGGACTTGAGCCCCGATCCCCTTACTGACCGGTAGGTAAAAGTCTAGGAGGCCCATCCATGAGTTACGGTAGCTCTGGATAGCCCTCTCTCTCGGCCAGTGTTGGAAGAAGGAAGTTACCAGAAGCTTTCTCTGGAAAAGGAAGAGAGAAGGAAGATACTCACTTCTATGGGGATACATGGCCACCTCATGGTAACTGTCTTGGCTAGGAAATTCAATCTGATGGAAGACTTGTTCCCTCCCTGGAAATAAGCACAGCATTGATGTGTCTTTGCGTGCTTGGCTTTTTCTGTGCCTAAAAGATGAGGCATGGGGTGGGGGATGGCTGAGCTGAGCTGAGTGGAATTCTTCTGAGCAATGTGGTTGTGTTTACTGGGAGGGTGGGAGGGCCAGGCCTGCTTTTTTCCTGCCTTCCAGGCTCCAGAGATAAGGCAGGGGATGAGGGATAGAATGGGTAATACTCTAAAACCACAAGAAAGAGTTCTGGCTTTTGTCTCTGCCCCACAGCTCAGACATGCTCTCTGGGGCATCTGGGAGAAGACAGCTGCCCCACCCCCAGCACTTGGGGTCCCGGCCCACAGGCACTCAAAACCTCCATAAGATCCCTGTCCTTCCATTCTCTCTGTGGTCAGTTCAACCACAAGCTTTCCTCAACTTTCTTACTCCTGTTCCTACCCCCAAATTTCCCTGCCAAATAAAGCCCTGTCACATTAGAGCCTCACAGGTCCTGCCAAAGCCACCTAGCTTCTGCAGGCATGGTATACATTGACCTTGAGGGTTCTGCCACTGACCCTGCACCTTTTATTAGAGGCCCCTGGATTCTTGCTGTCCCACAGGAGAGCTTGGCCCAGCCTAGATCATAGATACAGGTTAACCCTAAAGCAACTAAGGACCACACGCTGGGGATAGACAGCCACCTAGAATGAAAAACACCACTGTGTTTATTACTACGTGAAACAAAAGCATCTTTACAAAAATAGGGATCCGGGTCTCAGGGGCTCAGAGATTGGAAAAAAATCTGTTTTATTTTGATCAACATCCAATATGGTTTCTATGGCATAGCCCTGGCCCTGATCCCATGAAATTTAATGTTTGGTGAAATTTCTTCCCCCACTTGGAGAAAATGACTCCACAGTATCTTGGTAGACTGGGCACAGGGCAGAAAGGAGTGAGGGATGCTTGGAGCAGAGGAGACCCCCACCTTTTATTAAGCTGACCCTGGCCTTCTGGGTACTGTCAGCTCCAGGCGCTGAGCGAACGCCCCCTGGTGTTAGAAAGGCAGAAGCGAGGCCAGCCCTAAGTGCCACAGAGAGCCCCTCCCCGTTCCATTAGCATCCTCCTCCCAGGAGTTAGAAACCGTCTTGAGGAAACAGGGCATCGTCTGTCACCTTTTCTCTAGCCCAATTTGAACGAGGGGACCCAGTTTATAACTAAGAGTCGTTCTGCCTGCTTTGAAGTCTCTTTCTCCTAGGCAGCCCTACCTTATCTTAAGAGATAAGATCCTCTAGCCTGCTCCCTGAAGGAGGCTGAGGGTCCCAGCTCCTCTCCCAAGCTTCTGGAACCACCCGGGATACGGAGGCAAAAGGGTTTGCTGTCTGGTGTCCAGGTAGAGATGGGTGAGGAGCAGGCGAGAGCAGGAAGAGGAGCGGGCAGCTCAGTCTGTGTCCAGGTAACCCATCACGTGGTCCAGTTCAGCAGGCTGGGGGGCTCTTTGGGCTTCACCCTGAGCGAGACGAGGCTTGGAGACTTGTAGTCACCATCCGGAGAAGGCTCAAAGCTGTGCCCTCCCAGGGCAGGAGGAAAGCCATGGATGGAATAGATGCCAGGGTGGGCTGCTGGGGAGGCCGGCACTCCCATGAAGCCAGCCACATTTCCATGGGAATGGGAGTATGGAGACATGCACGGGGAAGGGATGCCCTCTGGAGACATGAGGCAGGGCCCCCCTGGGCTCCCAGACCCTGGACTGGGCCACAGGGAGTTCTGCAGCTGAAAAGAGAAGGAAAAAGGAGGGCTATGAGCTGCTTGCCCCAGAAGCTGCGTGCCTTACTCTGGCGGCTCTCTCCTTGTCCTTGAAACCTCAGAAGCTTTCTAGACATCTCCACTAGGTCCAGGGTCATCCCTCCTACTCCCCATACTGGCATCCAGGATGTCCCTACCATGGCTTCTCAGAACTATGCTTCCTTCTTTAATTCTCCCATGTTCTGTATGTATCAGAGTAGGCAATAGCCACGCTCTCAAGAGGAAGAAGTGATTTGCCCACATTACACAGCACCCAGATGCTGCAGCTCCCCCTCCCCCAGAGCACATGTTCTCACTGGCAACCCCCACAGGTCCAGGACAGGCCTCGTGGAAGGGAGGGACTAAAGGTCTCACCTGAGGATGGCTGTCAGTTCGGGGCAGCACAGAGATGTCATAGGCAGTGGTGAAAGGGTTCCGCCCCTCCTGCATCTTCCCATAACGCTCACGCTTCCGCCACTTGGCTCTGCGGTTCTGGAACCAGACCTGGGGACCATTGGGGAGGGTTAAGGGATGCCAGAGCAGCCCTGAGGACTGGAGCCTAATGGGTGAGGGTAATCACTGAGTCCTCTCCTGGGATCTAGAGCCAAGCTAGAAAATCCCAAGTGGTAGGAGCTTAGAAATCCTCACTGTTCCCAGGGCCAGTGGAGCCTGGGAGAGGCCCCATTCCAGAACAGTACTACTGGCCCCCAGGGCCCCCAGCATTCCCCAGACTGAGTCACTCTCTTCATCTCCAGCCTGGCTGGGTCTTGTCACAGTGTTTAGGGGAAGGGGGCTTGTGGGCTCAGGATACCTCCTAGGTGTGCCAGTATGTGGGCATTAGTCTGATTGATCCACCTTGTAGCATCCAATGAATCAAGGCATTCCTGTTCAGTTAAGGCACTCCTGTTCAGGTCATGGTCCTGTTTAATCCCTCAGTGGCTCCTTGGAATCCCTGACCTAGAGTCCAGTTCCTAGAAAGGCTCCTTAGGTCTCTACCCTCTCCAGAGTCTTAGGTCCTGGCAGACAACAGCACTTTGCTCTTCCTAGATGCTTCCCAAGCTCCCACCCACCTCTCTTTTTAAGATACCTGCTGTGGTTCCTTCCCACCAGTGAGTAAGTTTCCCCTTCCTGGACTATCCGTCTCTTCAACATAGCCTCCAGGTTGGGTTCTTCTAGAATGTTCTGACCTTTCTCAGTGTACTCGTCACATTTTGTGCCCATGCTCTCTTCGGGAGTCTACTTCTCGATTATTTATGAGTTCCTGGCAGGTGAGGGGTCCTGTGTCTTATACATATCTGAGCACCCATGTGATGAATATGGCATGTACCATTTGAATTGGTGGTATAGTTTGACTTCTTTCATTTAATGTCGTGTCCGCTATGAAATAGATGTTGGTAATATTGAAACCAAACCAAGGTGGGTGTAAGGACACACGCCTGGAATTCCAGAACTTGGAAGTGGAGGCTAGAGGATTAGGTGTTCAAGTCCAGCTTCAGTCACATACTGAGTTTGAACCCAGTCTAACATACGCGTAGCCCTGCCAAAATCTGAACCCAAAACCAAAGCCAAAATGAACCACACACAAACCATCACTGTTTTCTAGGGATCCATCTAGAAATAAAAATAGAAAAAGCTGTGTATGTGTGTACATGTGTGTAAAACTCCACTACCCTGTTTGGGATGAGGACATCCCTAGCCCTCATACATTCCTTTCTCCTTGGTCACCTCTACTCACATAGGCCAGCACCTTGATAACTAAGAGGCTGTGCATCCCCTATTCTCCTAGCTTCCAGGTTGTTGGGATGCCCGGGTAGGCCTGGCCAAGGTTAGGAGTGTCCACCGTGAATGCCCTTCTCTCTCCTTGCCCTCCTCTTTATTGGGAATTACTTTTCTGGCACCACCCACTTCCCCCTGGAGCCTCTCCACTGTGGACCTCTGCCTGGGCTTGGGACTTGTCTCTCCATTTGACACATGTGTGTTCTTAATTAGTCCTCTTCATGGGGTGGGGTTTATGGTGAGTATCATGGTCCTGTCAGAGAAGAACCTCCCTATTCTCCAGGCCCTTGGTGGTTTGGGAGTCCCATGACTACTCTTGTATTCTTCCAGGGTCCAAAAGGACGAGGAGCTAGGTCTGGTGGCACATGCCTATAGCGTGTGTTATTGACAGCACTCAGGAGGATCTTTAGTTTGAGGCCAGCCTGGGCTGTTAAATGACTCCGGGGACAGCCTAGGTTCTAGAGAGAGTGAGACCCTGTTTCAAAAACACCCCTCCCCAAAAAGTTAAAAGAAAAAGAAAAGGAGGAGGAAGAAGAAGGAGAGGGCCTAGGAGAGGAATGAGGGAGGTGCCCCCCCCCCCACTATGCATTTCCACAGGGAAAAGCAATTCAGACACCACCCCAACACAACATTCCAGAGCCTCCCTGTTCTGGACTTCCTTAGCTTATAAAATCTGGGGTTGTTCCCATAGCTTGGAGAACCTTGGCGGACAGTCATAGAAGACAGTTTTAGCTGCCACCGAGATGGGACAGGAAAGCATGGGGACACAGCAGAGGAGAGGAAACAGCTTTAGCCCCTCTCTGGTTTTGGAAAATCGGTGGTGCCGGCTTCGGTAGAGCGGCCTGTGGGGCCCCACAGTCTGTTAGAACTGCCCCCCACCTTAGCATCTTCTCAAGTCTCTGGAAGGGCCCCCATCCTGGGAGTGATAAACAAAGTTTCACTTCTCTTCCCTCACTGTAGGAGAGGCAGATGCCTCTGCCCAGGCGGTGACCTCACCTTTCTCTAGAACCCCAAACACACCTTCCAGGGTCTCCTTCTCTGGCACTGGGAAGCCTGTTCTAACTAAACCATGGATCAAAGCAAGGCCAAAAGTGACCAGTCTTCCTCTTAAGCCAGACTCTTAATGAAGGCCCTTCCCATCCCAGTCCTGCTAGTTAGTCGCCTCCATGTTCTCCATCACTTCCAACATCCACCCACCCTCTCTCCGGCTTCCCCATTGGCTGAGTTCCCCACCATGGGAAAAGGTGGTCATAGACAGGGGCCCTGAAGGTTGGTTTCTGTACAGAAGACCCGTTGGAGTAGCGAGGGGTTCCTGGTCAAGTCCTCCTAACTAGAAGCTGGTTGTTGGCTCACGATGAGTGTGACACATCCTTTGGTGACCTTCCCGCTCTTGCCAGCCACCTCAGAAGTAGCACTGATGTATGCTCAGCACTCACTTCTTCTATAATGCTGCCCAGCTGACGACCCTCAAAGATTCTCTGGCTTGCTACTGGTAATTCCTTTTCTAAAAGTGGGCAACAGAAACACCAAATCATCTGGCTAGCTCGTAAATAATAGAGGACTCCCATACAGATATTTGGACTCCAAGAGACCATCCGCAAATCTATGCCCAAGCCTTGACCCAATGATGTATTTCATCAGAAATAGAGAAGAGTCTGTAGTCACAGTAGCGCTGAGCGTGAAGGGTGAGCTCCAAAGGCCGGCCTCCAGGAGGACCTGGCCAGGCTGCCTCTCTGAGACACTAGTGCCCACCTCTCCTAGCTCGTCCTTGATCTGGTCCATGGCCTGAGTGGCTGTGGCGGCCAGAGAGTCTGGTGCCCACTATGGCCTCACCTGTACCCGGGCCTCAGTCAGGTCCGTGCGTAAAGCCAGCTGCTCCCGGGCATACACATCAGGGTAGTGGGTTTTCTGGAAGACTTTCTCCAGTTCTTCCAGCTGGAACGTGCTGAAGGTCGTGCGGTTTCGGCGCTTCTTGCTCTTGCTCTTGGCCAACTCCATGGAGTCAGGAAGTCCCGGGGAAAGAGGGACGACACGCAGGCTGGCCAGGCAGGGACCTGGGGAACCTTGTACATTAGAGGGCCCGTCTCTGGGACCCCCTCGGCAATCCACTGGCAGCTGGGGGAAGCTGGCGGCTTTGGAGGCCTTCTCCTCAGCTGCAATGGAAAACACAGAAAGGAGAATGGAAACCTAACAGGGGGTTTTGTGGGTGGAATAGAGGGAGGGGAAGAGCACTGAAGCTTTAGTCTCCTCCCCCTCCTCCCCCTCCTCCTCCTTCCCCTTGTCTTCCTCCTGGCAGCCACCCTCCCTGGGAGCCTGGCATTCAGAGGCCTGGCTGCTGAGCCTCCAGCTGGGGAGGGGGCCCTAGGGAACCATGTGCTCTGTGGTCTGGGCAGATCTTCTGGGGCCAGAGGGGGGTTCATTTCGGGGAAGTGCTCTGTGGTGGTGTCTCCCACAGGGTGTGGAGGTGCCAGGATTGGCGCCACAGCAGGGACTGCCACCCCCGGCAGGGCCAAGAGTGGGGGCAGGGGTTAAGGATGGGGTGGTTGACATCTCCCACCCCTTCTAGAGGGCTCCCTTGTTCTGGCTGTGCCGGCCTTGGTTCCCAGGCCCTCGGGCTCATGCCTCTGCTACCAGAGCCAGGCAGGCATGGACAGAGATGCATAGACCACCTCTGGCTGGTTTCCCTGCGCCTCATTCTTTGAAGTCCAAGTCTCACATTAATATTAATTTTCCCAACTCTGAGGTATGAAGAGCAAGCTGGGACAATGCTGATTCCATAGGAATTGCCTGCCTTCCTTCATCCCTAAGTTGTGATGTCAGGGCAAGAACTTAAGCTCCAGCTTAAGAAAGGTGGAGGCCAGGTAGGCTGTGCTTTGGAGGCGTTCTGAGAGGCCAGTACCACAGCTCCCTTTCCCCCATAACCCTCAACAATTTCTGCCCCTCCCACCTCAGGAGTTTCTGAATGCTTCCTCATCACCTCCATTAACAGGCAGCGCGGGAGGGCGCCATTGCAGGCTGGGAACAGTTCCCAGCAGCCTCACTCTGATATGCTCTCGCTCAGGAACCCCATATGACTGACCTGGCATGGTGAAAAATAGGTCACCACAATCACCCCCCACCCTCTCCCTCTGGAAAAGACCCCCAGCAGTGTCCCCATAAAGATCCCCCTCAACGGTCTGCTGGGATGGAAGCCATGACAAAGAGGATGCCACAAAGACGCCCTGCTGACTCAGAGGGCCCCTTCTTTGGCCCCAGGCCCATCTCCAATGGGGGCCTGGCCCTCAGGAGGCCTAGCTAGCTGGCACCAAGAAACAGTTTCTTCCTGGAGACTTAATGTCAAGATCATAGCTGTGAATGTGTGTGAAGAGGGGTACACTGAGTCAGACGAGTCCCTATCTGGAGGGCAACTTGGGTTAAACCCTTTTCAGCTGGAAAGTGGTCCATGACCCCCTCAGGACCACCTAGGCTGTGAAATAGGCTTCCCGTGTGTGTCCTGAAGACCTAGGACAGACACCCAAGGCCTGGCCTCTGGCAGCACCAGCGTGTAGAACAGTCTCCTCCATGACCCACAGGCAGCACAGGGAGGAATCTACTGCAGTCCTTACATTCTGCTCCCCATCGTCACGTTTGGCTAGGAAGGAGGAATCAAAGAACTCAACCTAAATCATAAGAAATTGTCAGTGGGCGTCAGGAGCTTGGAATGGGTCACCCTGGAGATATCAGGCCCTCAAAATGGCCTGGCAGGGAAGAGCCTTGGGGTCTTGGGTTCTCAGGGAGGGAAGGGTGGACTTCAGGCAGAAAAAGGGTTAGAGGAGCTCAGGGCAGGAGCTTAGAAGTACTGACTTCACTACACAGAGTTCCCCGAGGTCTTCTGCTTCCTTACCCCCAGTGTCTGTTCCCATAAGAGCCAGCTCACAGGAAATACTCTGATCTAGGGCCCGGTCACTTGCTTTCCTGATCTTGAGCCCATAAGCTTATAAAGTCAAGAGATCAAAACACAGCAGAGCAGCTCTCCCCTCCAAAAGAGGCTAAGCCTGCTGGCCTCTGTTCCTCTCTCATGCCTGCCCTCTCTACAGTCCTCTCCGAGTGACAGACAACTGCTTCCCCTCTTCATAACTGTTTCCCCAAAACCTTCCTGATCTAGCGGGAGGACTCCAGGGCCAGGGCCACTTTTCAGAGATCCCCAAGCAGCTTCCTGAATAGTCAAGCCTAAGGAGAGCAGAGACAGAAATGGGAGAAATGGAGAGTAGCCACCAGGAAGGGTGTCCAGGAGTAGAAGCTAGCAGTTTAAACTCTCTAGGGGAAGGTCGTTCCATTCCGTTAAGGAGGGTCCATTTGAGGTTTGAGCTATTATCAGTTACTATAGCACACTGTGGGTGGTCCAGAGAGAGTACTCAAGTTGGTTGTTGGTCACTGGGAGCCTGAAGCAAAGTGTAAGGAGTGTCCTGAGCCTGTACACCTGCAGGAATGCAACAGCACTCTGAATGAAAGCCAGGTGCAAGAACCGGGACCTTTACCGAACCAACAGGGGTCAGGATTCTTTATCTCTGACCTGGCCTTCAAACCTGTGCATCCCTGACCAGGGAGAAGCGCACCACAGCCCTACCACATGCTGTCTCAAGCCACCTCAAACTTGATTGGTGAGCAGCACCAATCCTGGCTGCTCCTAAGTCCAGATTGTGGCATCCACTGTTGTCACAGAATCAGCCTCCTGGCTTTCAGCGTTTACGGCCGCCTTGCTCTAAGGTGAGCTCGTTTTCTGTCGTCATGCTAGGGTCTCTAAATGAGTCATAGTAGTCTCTGAAGCCTGGGCTTCCTCAGATCTGACCATAATAAGCGCCAAGCTCCGGGACATCAGCGAGGCAGTGGTGTTCTCCTCAGAGGTTCTTAGCCAAGGACTTAAATTCTCCCCGATCGGCCGGGTCTTAGGGCTGTGGATCTCAACTGAAGCAGGTGGGTAGAACTCCAACAGGAATCGTTTCCAGAGGATTCGTTCCCAGGTCAGAGAGCCATGCTTAGGGACAAACTGGCAGCCCTGGAGGAACCGGAAGGAACCATCCCGGCACACACAGGTATTACCCGAGGAGGGTGCATGGGTGGCTGGAAAGGATGAAACGAGGCCCGCGTCAGGAGAAGGGCAGGGCGCTTTCTGCAAAGTGCGGCCAGAGGCAGCCGGGATGCAGACGCCGCCGGGTTGAGGAGAAGAGATGTGAGCCAGGCTCGGAGCGCAACAACTGGGTCTCAGCAAAGACTAGCCAACGCGCCTCCGAGACTGATAGTTTAAAGATAGGGACATTGGTGTGTGTGTGTGGGGGGGGGGGGGGGGGGGGGGGGTTGGGGGTCACCTTTACTAAGGATCCACGTACAACCAAGACCAGAACTGCGGAGTTTCAGTCAGGGAGTTGAGAGGGAGCAGTGGCCAGGATCCCAGCCCAGGCTCGAGCTCGCTCGGCTGCGCCTCCTTTGCGTTTGGCCTGTCCCCGGCACAACCCAAATCATTAATTTTCCTATCTCATTTGTTCCTATTTGGTGTGCGCTATCCCTTTAGGAAGTACCCTCTTCTTTCGTTTGTTCTGTTCTCTCTCTCTCTTTTTCTTCCTCATTTACCCGCTTCGTTCGATCTGCTGTTTGCTCTTTTCCATTCACTCCCTTCCGTTCTTCTGTCCGCCCCACCGATTGACTTCCCCTGTTACCTTTGTTCTTCAACCTCTAATTCGTTGTTTTGTTCAACGTCCTCATCTCCCTTTGGGTTGTTGCTTTCTTTCTTTTCTTTTGTTAACTTTCTTTTACTTTTTTTTTTCTTTCTTTCTTTCGTTCGTTGCGAGAACAGACTCGCTGCCGCTGCTTTTCGACAGGCGCCCAACCCCTTGGCTGTCCAGGACCCCGAACTGTAGGTGCAGGATGCTGTGCAGCGGCCGGGATGCTGGACTGTGGGGTGGGTGCTGCCGGGTGCGACACCGACCCAAGCGGGTACCTGTCCCTGGCGGTGCTCTGGCCGCTGCGCGGATGCCGCCGTCTGGCAGGGATCAGAGGAGCCAGGCCAACTGCTTCTCATTAAGTCCCAACTGTGGTTTTTATCAGGAGAGCCTCTTTCAAAGGGCATTAGACGCGAAGCTCCGCGGACTTGCTCATTTCCTCCGGTGACCCCAACACACCTCCCAGGCCTCCCCTGCACACTCCCACCACCCTGACCGGACGAAGGCCGGAGCTGCTAGCTGCCCAGCCACTCCGAGGAGGCCGGTGAGGCGCAGGCGATTGCCGCATGGGCGGATCTCCAGAGATCCAGCTCTGAGTCTGGGCCGCGAAATGTGGCAGCATACAAGGGGTGGGCGTGGGCGCCGAGGCTCCCGTGGGTCAGCGGGTATAATGGGCGGCAAACTAGTCTTGCCCAGGCCCGGCCATTCAGGCACGTTCTCAGATAATGGCACGGGCTACCCGCTTTAGCACACAGGGCACTGTCCCCGGAGCGGGAGGCGCCTTGGGGTTTAGGACTGTCCAAGGCCGCTTCCGACGGCTCAGAGGTGGCGATTCGGTGCCGGGATGCCAACTACCAGGAGGGCGGCCATCCCCGTGCGGGGAGGCCAGGTTAGTCTGAGGAACAAGAGCATAATTATTCGATTTTGACACCGGTCCCAGGCACCGAAGTGCATCAGCCACCGCTAATCCGCGGAGCGTCTAACGGCCACGGCGGCACCCTTTCCTGAAGAGGCTGGGCCCGACTTGGAGAGCTGGGTAAGTCCAGGCCGCAGCCCTTCGCTGAGTCCAGCTTGGCCACTAAGTCGAGACACAGCCTCTGCGCCCTCATCGGACGCCAGACACAAAAGCCGAGCTCTTCTCTCCCAGCGTCGAGGCCCAGTTAGGCTCCCGGGCCCTCGATCCAGTCCTCACTTCTGGGTCGGTGGCAGCAGAGGCCCGGCTCCAGATGAGCATGATTTCTCCTTTCAGGTTCTGTCGCCTTCGGGGCCGGAATGGGCCCAAGATCGTGACCACTCAACCCTCCTTTGACCTCCTGCCTCCCGTTGCCGCCGCGCCGGGGACACGACTGTGCGGTCCCCACCGCACTGGCCTTGCCTGCCCTGGCCGGTGGCGAACAAGAGAGGGAACCGTGGGAAATGAGAGACGGGCCCAAGGTTGGGAAGCAGGAAAGCGGGAGAGGGGGTCGGGGAGACGAGGAGGAACCGGGGGAAGGGAACGACACGGGGTCGGGCTGCGCGTTACCTTCCGCGGGGCCCTCGTAGAAGTGGCCGCCGTTGAGCACCGGGCCCGGCCCGAGGTCCTGCAGGTACTTGGCGGGCGGCTTGGCGGGCTCTGGGAGGTACGGTTCCAGGGGCCCGCAGGCCGGGAAGCGGCTTAGCCGCGGGCCGCGGGGTGGCGCGGGGTGCAGGTGAGGCGCGGCGTCGGGAGTCCCCTGGGCGCCTGGAGGCTCGTCCCCCGCGGCCGCGTAGGGACCCGCTGCCGGCCCCACCGCGAAAGGCGCGCAGCGCTCAGGGTCCATGCCGGCTCCGGGCGCACAGGCCGCCGGGGCTCCGGGGCTCCCGCTACCCGCGCGGCCTGTGAGCGCCTGCCAAGGGGGAGGGACCTGGGCTCGGGGGCGCGGAGCCCCCGGGAGCGGCGCGCGCCGCGGGGGGTGGGGGGCAGGAGAGGGGGCCGCGCCTCTGACTTAATGCTGGAACTATCCACGTCACGTGCGGCCCCGCGCGGGTTAACCCCTCGGAGCCCAGGAACCCCCTGATTCACCCCGAGCCGATATCACAAGCAGTTGGAAGAGAGGAAGAGGAAGGCTGCTTCCTTTCGAGGGCAGGATCCCCTTTGTCTACCAGTTCGGGTGAGTCCTTGGCTCTGAGCTGCACCCTGAGTCCTGATATCCATCGTAGTGGCTCTTGTCCCTGGAGAGGTGAGGCAGTGTGGGTAAACGCCCTCCTCCAACATACTCTCTGAGGCCTGATCTGACCTCGTCCGCCTGAGAGGAGAGCCCCCTACAGTGGTTGAGCTACAGGTCTCCTGGCTTTTTTTGCTGGTAGCAGGAGGAAAAAAGCAAGCACACCTCTCTTAGACACTTGTTTTGCACAGGCATATCAGTGATTGGACACTGTGGAAACAGCTCTAAGCTAAGCGGGGGCTTGGGAAGCTTGGGCCTGGATACTATCATTAATTTGCTGTGGTGCCTTGAACCCATCACTTAGTGTTTTCATCTGACTGTGGAGGTCCTTCTATATATTAGTGGTGAGTTCCAAAGCCAGGCAGGCCAGAGCCAACAGGTTCCCAGGACATCACGGGGGTCTGCCCAGGTAGCTGTTGAGTCAGGTATGGAAAAAGTAGAAGGGTCATTGTCCTTCTGAGCAGCATGAAATGCCTTTCAGAGTGTCCAGGGACCCACTGCAAAGGGACTATTTCAGACCTGCTATTTTGGACATAGTGAGGGTAGGATGCGAGGTGAAGTGAGTCTCCCCAGCCCAAAGGAAACCTGGGATTAGGGTATAGTTTTAGCTTTTCTGAAATAGAACAGCCCTTGCTGTACCTAAGATTTGGGAAGAAATGCCAGAGGTCCTTCGGATCCTAGTTTAAAGATTCCTTAGGTCTGGGTTAAACCATTTATAGTTTTAGTGCCCCTGGAGATTAGCGAGAGGGGTAGGGAGTCAAACGTCATTTGTATTTCATTTGAATTCTCAATTTTTAAAGGAATCCAAGAGGCCTGGTGTGAACACCTCCCTCTTCCGTTGGAGGCTTAGAGGGGGTTTCTTGGCTGTCCTCAGCCAGAGTTGGGCTGTAAATCAAGGCCAAACAGGAACCAGAAGCCTTGCGTCTCACAAGGAGTCATTAAGCCATTATTAAACATACCGTAACTTCTCTGAAGCCTTATTGGCTTAAACACCACATTGGAGGCATTATGGCCATTAGGGCCCCTAATCACAGACTGCAGGCTGGGCAGAGATGGGAGCACCTGGGGCTGGTATTTCCAGCTAGGGAAGCTTGGCTCCAAATGATGTTTTCCCTCTGCCTGTACCAGAGGGGAGGCCACTGGATCTCAGCTGTGGACACCGTTGAATTGATTACTAATAAAAGTTCTCAATACTTGTCAATTGGATATTGTTGACTATCTAGGAGATTGTACCATTTCAGGACATCTAATCAACAAAGTTACCAAGCACCTTAATTTGGAGGACGAAAGTGTGACACAAGAAAAATGTCACTACCAAATTAAACAAGGCAGCCTGGATTAAACGCTGAGCCGTTTGCCTCAGTTTTCTTGTCATAAAAATGGGCCACACACATATGGACATGGGGTATTTGAGAAACACTTGTGTTTTGCTATACTGTGTTAATTTACTGACAATAATGATTTCTCAAGAAAATGGGAACCCAGATTTCAGGGTTCTATCACTGAATCTGTGGAAGTCTCCTGACTCCAGATGGAATGGCCCTGGCACGGGAGCTGAACGATGGATTCTGTTGCCCTTCCCAGCCCTAGAGATTCCTCCTGACATTCCTTCACTCTGCACAGAGACCATTTCCATGCTGTAATGGTGTTACTAACTGAACTAAGGAGATAGGAGGGCCCAGATGACAGCTGAGGTTGGTGAAGTTACCTCTTCTGGAAGGGTTTTCTCCCAGAACTGTGGAGAACAAGAAGCCTGGAGGAGCCTCTCCTGCTCCCCTTAAATCACTGATCCAAATGCAGGCCTTTGTCTCCAGTTGAGAGCAGTCTGGTGAAGCAGGTGCATAGATAACACAGGAGAACTTCCAAGGTCTTATTTTTCCTTCCTAGGTGGCCTGAGAGTTGGGGAGCATTGGGAGACCCAGGAGCCCTCACTTCATAGCTGTGTGCATGGACACAGTGTGCTGGACTTAGCTCAGATAGCCAGCATACACGGATTTATGTATGTTCACAACAACCCATGAAGTGGGCACAATTATTAGACCACCTTTACACAGTAAGAGAGCCGATTGTTCAAGGTGGGCAGAACCAGTTAGGATTAGAACCAGAATTTGCTCTCAGATCCATTCTTCCCACCCTACAAGCTCTCTATTCTTTTTTTTTTTTTTTTTTTTTTTTTTCCGAGACAGGGTTTCTCTGTGTAGCTTTGCGCCTTTTCCTGGAACTCGGGAGGCAGAGCCAGGCGGATCTCTGTGAGTTCGGGGCTCTCTATTCTTTTTCAGCTAACAAAATAAGGTAGAAATCATTTCTTATACATTCTGTTTTCCCCATGGAAAAGCTGGAGCTTGTTCCCCAAAGGGAAGTTGAGACCAGATGGGGACAGAGTTAGTTTGAACTGAGCTGTCCCAGTGACTTCAGGAACACCAATTGGCACCCAGCTATGGTGGCCAGAAAAGGCAAGGGAGCAGGAAGGGGATGGCTTCTTTTAAATGGAGACCAAATGGAACAGGTCTAACACCTGAGTGGTTTTAAGACTAATTTGGATGTGGGGCAGAGTTTTAAGAGGATTCATGAATTTATTATTCACGCTGTTTAATAACCATTGAATTAATAGCATTTCTCACTGATCCATTCTCAACAAAGAGATGAGCCCATAAATGATCCAGAGACTTCTAGGTCCTTAATTAAAAAACAACAAACAACAACAACAACAAAAAAAAACTTTATTAAAAAAATTCTCCACTTGCCAAGTAGGACAAGTTTTAAAATGGAAATGATACTTTTATTGATGATTGTTGAGTTACTTCATCTCCCAGGAGGGTCTGCTGGTGACAGTTAGGAGACAAAAGGTATCCTTGCTTGCATGGGGCTTAGGCTTTGTTGAAGTGAAGAGGGTCAGTGGTGTTAAGCACACCATCTCTTGGATGTGAATTAGTGGGGGTCAGTCCTGGCTCCTAGCTCAAGTATAAGGTCAGCTCTGTGATTAGGAAAACAACAGTTCCAGCTACCTTTCCCCTTTATTTTCTCCATCCCTCTGTCTCTACCCCATGAAGTGGAATATCCTTCTGTGATAACCAAAAGGAGCCAGAACAACGGTACCAATGGAACCTCACATTTGAGATTTTCTTAATAAATACAAAACTGCCTTCCAGTTGCTTGTTTTTCCCTTGGAAGGGAAGATAGTCAGCATTGCCCTTGTTCTGTTTAGACACTGAAATCCTAAATTGATCCTTACGAAAATGCCGGGTTTGGGAGCCCAAGTGGATTGTTTCTCATTAGCTACATTCTTCCTGGAAGGTCAGGCTATGGAATGGTAAATAAACCTAAAGATCCGGTGTTCCTCGCCCATGGATGATATTTTTAAGAAAGGTTTGTATTGTGGGAACCAGGGTCCTTGACTAGGTTTTTAACAATGTAGGCTGGATCCTATGCTTTATAGGGTGAAATTTCTGGCGAGTTTAAGGACTGTTTTCCCTTCTCTATCAATTTAATGTGTTTGATTGAAAAGCCCCTTAACCTCTCCATACCTAAGTTTCTATACTACAAAAGTGTGAGGAATGATTCTGTAGTCAGCTTTCCTGGACTGAGAGAGCTAGTGTTTATACAGATGTTTCTTGAGCCTAGATCTACCTTTGAACGAGTACACACACACACACACACACACACACACACACACACACACACACACAGGCCTCTATCTATCTCACCAGGGTTAGGTGGATGAGAGGAGGGAAGCAGAAGTAGAAGGATGGCTGTAGTGTGACTGTGTTGGAGGACCTGAGATAGTACTGCTGACTTGCTTTTATTGTGTGTGAAAAATAAATGAATTCTCTAGCAAGTGCCCCATGTGGACCATGTTGCCACGTTGTGGAGGAGTTTTATGAACTCATTCTTGGTATAAAGGAGAAATGGGCAATAGTAGACTTTGGGGGAAGTTCTAACACCTTGATTAATCGTATGCAATGATGTGTGTTCATCAAACATTTGTGCAATGCCTGCCACATGGCCGAGATCGGGACTGCACAGAGGATCGGGCCAGAGACAGTACCACTTATATCCAGGGCCTTTCCAGATGGTTAGGAGAAGGATGCAAAGCTTTATCTCACAGAATAGGATTGTGCTCAGGAAGCTGTGAGGGACTCACAAGATAGATGCCTAACTCAGTAACGGGGACAGCAGGGGACAGGTGGTCGTGAGGTACTACTCTAAGGTTGAATCTAGAAGGTAGAGTGGGGGGTTGCCTAAGTAAAGGTGAATGGAGGGGCAGGAAGAGAGGGTATCCCAGAAAGAGTAGCTCCCAGGTGAGAGAGGAGGCCATTTGGCGGGAACTCAGACATGGTGAATATTGCTGGACCTAGGCTGGAGGAGGAGGAGGAGTCCACAGAATCTAGAGACATTCCAGAGAGCAGGAGGTTGGTTCCAGGGGCATCAGCTTAGTCTCTAGCTTCAAACACTCTCTTCACCCACAGGAGGGGAAAAGGAGAAAGCTCCAGTCCTTAGGAATTCAGTCTACTCCAAGAGGAGGTCCCCCAAGACCAGCACCCAGCCCAGCAGGCACACATTAAGTCAGCAGAGAAACAGCAATGATAAGAAGGCTGAGACCAGAGAGCCAGAAAACACACTCACAATGGAAGCCTTG